GCGGGGCGGGGGGGCTGCGCCAGACTTGCGGGAGCTTTTTCCCTTGGAAGTTTTGCCTTGGATTTCCTAGGACAAGTGCCGCAGCGGGGTTGTTTTCTTGTCACATGTTTTAACGTCAGTGCAGAAACGCTAATCTTTCTGGAACTGTGTAAAGTCGTTGCTCTAGCGGCAAAATTAAAAGCAAAGCTTTAAAATGCCGCCTTAGACGTCTGTACGGATCAGCGTGCATCTCCATCTCATGCTTTCGTAAACGGTTCACCTTGTAATCTGTAGTTTGTCATTTTGTAATGTTCATACAGATTCTGTTAAGGCTTTTGGGGAATTTTATTACAAGATCTCTGTTTATATTTTTCTAGTGCTACTGTTGCTTTTTTATATTGTTTTGTATATTAAACATTTGCTGTTGCTTAAACTGCTACTGCATTTATTTTTTGCTGTTTAAATGCCAATGACAGTCTTGGAGTCTTTGAGATAACCAGATACTCTATCACAGCTGGAATACCCACACTGCATATAAACTGTAGAGACGTTTGACAGCTGAAGGCTTGAACGCTTCTCAACCTGCAGGAGAAAGCACTGTCTGTCACCTCAATAATCAATAAAGTACTTGGCTCAAAAAAAAAAATGTCGCTTGCATCACACTGTTAATGTTGCCAAGAACAGGTTCTAAGGGGGATGGCAAGAAAGTTGAATTTGTTCTCTCTCACGTTCCAATAATTCAGTCTCAGGGAACAATTAAAAAACTTATTGTGGATTTAAAAAAATTGCCATGACTGAAATTTGTATGGCAGAACTGTGGACGTGAATGCACGTTGGCCACCTAGTTTCTTTCTCAGGTGCCTTTTGGCAAACAGATAAAGGAGGCTGAGAATGGACTTGAAATTAAAACAGAACTGAAAAGCAGGGAATATTAAGAGCAGGATAGAAGGGGAAGCATCAGGAAAGTGTAAGGGGAAAAATGTTTAACTGAAAGTTATCTCTAGGTGGTTGTGCATGTCTTACAGGGATCTGAAAGACATTGCAGCCAGACCAGTTGAGATCCTTAAACTGGAAGTGAGCAAGGTGTAAAGTCTGGACTATCTTCTTTAATCTCTGTGGTGCTGGTCCTTGGTACCTCCTGAAAGGTGTAAGCCGAGTAGGAGCAAGAACAGATCAGTTGTAGTTTTGAAGAGGCACAACCGTTTAGAAAATCTGAAGAACCGTTTAAATGGAGAGTTTGCTCATAAGCCATATGGTTGTTTGCATTAATTATTATGGTGAAGAAAACAGCCTTAATTTTTGTGTTTGTAATAAATGAAACAATAAGTATAGGCTCAAGGACTGCTAGCCTTCCAGCCAGAATACCATTGCATTTCTTGGTTTTGTGAAATGAGAAGAAATCCTGAAAATGGTCGAATGGTATCTAAAGTGAATTTCATTCAAGTTAATATTGAGAATGAAAACCATAGTTCACAGGGGCCAGTTGCACATGTGAACTTTGCCAGAACCATTGAGTAACTTGAGAAGTTGTTCTAGGAACGTGACGGGTGTTTATTCTCCATGTTTGTTGAATTTTTTTAATTCGTTTGTTGGCATCTAATGGTCAGGGTCAAGGGCAGCTTTAGTGGGCTTTATTGTGAAACAGAGGTCAACAAGCTGGATTTCTCTAATAAGTGTTATCAAGAGGACATGAGCTAGCAACTCTCTGACCTGGAAACAAACTGGAACTTTTGGACTCCATAATTGCTTGTGGTGCTAGTAGGTGGAACCAGGAGTTAAATTCCCCTCTAGATCACCCACCAAAAAAAACCAGCCTCTGTAAACTTTAATGTTTGAATGGTTTGGAAGCTATTGAAAGTTCGTAATTTTCTTTGGTTAGTGTTTTCACTTATATAATACTTAAAAACGCACTCCTTGGCTTGATCTGCTTTTTACAGATCTCGATGGGTTTTTTTCCTTCTGATTCTCTGAATTTCACATGTCACTCAATATATCGATATTCAGTCTGCAGATTCCAGGCTGTTCCTCACTAACTTGCCATTGTTATTTTATGTACATGTTTTTGAAAATAAAAATGCTAAGGCATAGTATAAAGCTTATTAGAAGCTTGCCCATTAAATTCTATTTGCATTCATTCCAGCTGTCTGCTTGGTTTGCACTTCTTTTGCCATGTAGAGCCACAGTTATAGGGAAGTATTATCTTGCAAAGGGATCGAGTTGAAAATTCTTTGCAGAAAATATCTCTTCAAAATTGAACTACATTCTTTAATGGTGACTAGTTCTGATGTTGAAGTGCGTGAGCCTTCTCTAGTAATAGTTGCATGCATTAATCTATCTGAATGATTATTGGTCAGAAAAGGTATTTAACATCAGAGTAAAGCTTAATTCTTTCATTACTATTGGGATTTGATTATTATCAGTATAGAATAATAAAACCTTCTCAGTAGATTATTTGTTTCTAGTGCGTATGAATCCCAGTTCCTCTGTTCACATAATCTTTACTGTTCTAATTTGCATAATATTGTAATAGGATTTTAAAATCCTATGTAAGAGCAACTGTAAAAAAATGCAGTACCTTAACATTTTTCAAATGCACTTGGGGATGTGTGAAATTGTTACCTCTAATACTTAAGTGATTGAGTAACAGTGCAGTCAGGGGAAACAGTGGTTCCATGTGTCACCGTTTGAGATATGTGGAAGTATTGCAAATCTTGCACAGAATTTTGTAGATTTCCTACCTTCTGATAATTTATTATTCCTGACCTTTAGGCTTATTTAATTATATACTATAAATTATAATTATATACATAATTATATATATATAATTTAAGAAGTTGTAAAACACATCAGTGCATTTATTTTTAACGCTGCTTTCTTTTGTTATAATTAATCTTCCTTCTACCCCTCCCATCCCCAGGGTCAATTAAGTGAGAGCATGGACCATGGAGGAGTTGGCCAATATGACCTGTAAGTTGCTGCTAGAAAATGTTCTGTACCATTCATGCCAACTACATAAACTTTTAATTTTGTTACATTGTTAAGTTAAATAGAAAATTTTGTCATTCTTGTTCAATTTTGAGTTGTTTCTAGCCGTTTCACTATTTCTTCACATTAAAATTTGTGAATTGTATCTTGAAATAAAATAATAATAATAAAAAAAAATTCTGGCGAAACTTGCTGTTGTCTTTTAATCCTTGTTTCTCCTAACATTATCTATCGTACTTGAATAATATTTGTAACACCAATGTAACACACTGGCTGCAGAACGTTGTATGTTCTGTTCATTTTGTAAAGGCTCCAGTTGCAGATTTGCATAGCAGTCTGAAGCAGTTGAGAATCCAGCAGTTCTGATTTGAAGTTCAGGAGACAGCTACCTTTAGCATTGCTTCGTTTACAGATTTCCAGATTGTTTCAGCATGCCATGTCGTGAAAAGAAAGCAATGATAGTTGAAACAGTTGAGTTACGTTTACTTTAGCAGGATCAATCTGTTAGTCTTTTGCAGAACTGTAGCATAATTTAGAAGCATCATTAAATTATGGTTCAGTCTTCTTTTGTGGCATGTTCAGAGTTGTGAGACTTTTTTTGTTACAGCTTTTTCTGCAAGATATTTTGTTACAGAAATCTCACCATCACTGTTGGGGCTGCTGAATGTGATTTGAGACTTAAACACACCCTATAGCCTTGCTTTTACTGGAGATCTTGTAGGAATATCTAAGTCAATTCGAGGCTGTGGTCTTTTAAACTTAATTCTGGTGTAATACAGAGATTTATTATGCATAAAAATGAAGGAATCTGAAGGAAATCTTGATACTGTAAATACCCAGAATTTGCAGGTGATCTTTTCTGTGCAAGTTGCAACTTACTGCTTTGCACACACCTAAATACAATTTCTGATGCTGAGAATTCTCCAAATCTCCAAAGCAGTCATTCAGTTATGTCAGATATACTGTATGCTTTTCAGAAAGTAATTTGCTTGCTTACTTTCATTTGATCGTTTTTGAGTATCAGGTAGTCTTATATTCTTGTTTCGGTTTTATCCAGTGGCATGGAACATTGTGAAAAATTTGAGATTTCAGAAACTAGCGTAAACAGAGGTCCAGAAAAGATCCGACCGGAGTGCTTTGAGTTACTACGCGTACTTGGCAAAGGTGGCTATGGAAAGGTAAGGAACTCTTTTCTACAGAAGTAAATCCATTACGCCGAAGGCGGTTGAAGTGCTTGCTTGCTGCCTTTGGCAAGGTCTAATCTTCCCATCCTGTTGTCTGAAAAGTTCACTCTACCAGAAGGTAACCTCAGGGCTGCCAAGGTTGGTGTCACGGGACCGAGGTCACCGGCGGGGCCTCACCAGCTGGTGGCAGTAGGAAATGTCCCAAACTGGTTCTAGTTCCAATCGCTAGCTCTTCTCCTTCATGTAGCGTTGCAGTTTGTAGGTGATCTCATCTCTCTTTCACAGAACTTTGCTTTTAACTTAAGACATCTAATGTGGTCATGATACGTGATTGCTTTTGTGTTGATGTTTTGTAGGTATTTCAAGTACGAAAAGTAACTGGAGCAAACACCGGGAAGATATTTGCCATGAAGGTTCTTAAAAAGGTAACCTGAATGGTCACGTTTCACTACTGTCTGAATCTAAACAAAATCTGTCCCTCCCTTTAGCTGTTACAATTATCTAATTATATAATATACCTAAAATTAAACTTTATCTGTGATATATACAGTTGTTATCCAGGTACAGTTGGAGTTATAATTAGTCTTCGACTAAATTGTTCTGTCTGTGTAGTTCTTAGCAGCTAATTTAAATAGTTCAGGAGGTTCCTTCCAACCTAAATTATTGCATGATTCTATGAAATAAATCAAGAAACTGCTGCAAGAAACTTGTCATGTTATGTATGTATCATGGTGAAATTTTATTTTTTTATTATGTTGTTGAATCATATGTAAGTGTTGTGATTTAGTAAACTCAGAAGGGAATTAAATATAAAAGTGCCTTGTTTAGCATGTTCTTGTGCTCACATCTCTCTGCTTTTTGTAGGCAATGATTGTAAGGAATGCAAAGGATACAGCTCATACAAAAGCAGAGCGGAATATACTGGAGGAAGTGAAACATCCCTTCATCGTAGACTTAATTTATGCCTTTCAGACTGGTGGAAAACTCTACCTCATCCTTGAGTATCTCAGTGGTCAGTATATGAAATTCTGTTACCTCCTTCTTGGTATCTTACGTAATTGAGACTCTGGATTTCTTACTCTGCTTATAAAAAGCCAGCTAGCTATTGGCATGGTGTCTTAAAGATGTAAAATAGGTTAGCATTAAGAATACATAGAATAACATAATTAAACGTTCTAATTCAATAAAATAAAGAGGAATTAAACATAAAATAGTTATTTTTCATGACACTACAGGAGAGGAAGATTTTTAATACCTTTGCTTCCATCAGGCTTGTAATTCCTGTGTGTTAGACTTAGACCCTATGCAGCCATATGAAGTACCTGAGGTTTTAGTCCTTGCAGGTTCTTTGTGAAACAAGAAAGTGTTATCTTTATTTCAAAAATAGATAGAAACAGAAACAAATTACAAGCAATTTGCTCAAGTTATAACAATAGGAAAAAACAGGGACAGAAACGCTGTTATTTTTTTCAGCGTGCTGTTTTGATTTCTTTTGGCATTTCTTCTGTTGATAGAATTCTGAGAATAACAGAATACTAAATTCTCAGCTGTTTTCGTGAAACAGCTTTCTATGAAGTAGGACAGAATACCTGTTGCTTATAGTTTTTCTAGAAAATAGACTTTTGACTGACTAAAAATGATAGAATTAACTTTACTGGAGTAAAATCTCATTTTTCTCATGACAGGAGGAGAACTATTTATGCAGTTAGAGAGAGAAGGGATATTTATGGAAGACACAGCTTGGTAAGTGAACTTACTTTGGTAAATTAGTAAGTTTGGGTGTTTTTCCCCAAGTGCTTAAATGGTATATTCTGACTTGAAAAACTATAACTGCTCATTCATTTCTTAGTCTAGTGAAAAGAACAGTTAATGGGGTTTGGGGAAGATGTACGTGTTCCATACTTACCCATTTGTGCCAGTCTTGCTACAGTAGAGGGTCCATCGCTGGTTGCTGAGTGAGGCCGTATTACATAGGGTTGTGGTAAAGGAGGTGTTTGGGGTGTTGGAGAAAAGACTGTGAAAGACTTGCTGTAAATGCCATCTTTTTTGTTCTTGATGTGCACACAATTTTACCAGCCAGTTACAGAATTTCCAATTCACTGTAATGGCTGTATTCTAACGTTCAGATGTGTGGAGTGATAATGTTAATTATGCTAAGGAAGGAGAAAGCGCCTTTTGAGTAGTGATATTGTACATATAAACAAGTTGAAATTATCCCTTATTGATGAGGCTTCACACAACTGAATACAGTTGTATCTTCCTACAGCGCGTGCCGATAATGCCTTAGAAAAGCTTTGATGTACATACGGGGCTGTAACACAGTTCCACAGATAGCACTCTGGGTGCTGCCCGTTACCATCTTAGCTTCATTTTTTTTCTTCAATTTTGACATCTAGATGTGGTAATACAGATTGAAGCATATTTTAACCACTAACTGGTAAATTTAGATTCCTCCAAATATGTTCATGGTAAGATAGCTACCGAACAGGTAAACCTAATGCTAATGGCGTAATTTTGTAGTTCATCTTGCAGTCTGTATGCCTTTTGGCAAACCAACCTCAAAGGCATCGTTGTTTCTCATACACTTCTAATGATACTTTCAAGGAACCGTTGCTATGTACGTAATAGTCTTAGTGCTTAAGATGCTTTGCATGATTGAATATGTCTAATTTTGTGTCATATGTTTCCGTTCAGCTTTTACTTGGCAGAAATCTCAATGGCACTGGGGCACTTGCATCAAAAAGGAATCATCTACCGTGACCTGAAGCCAGAAAATATCATGCTTAATCATCAAGGTAGAAATATAGTAACAGTTACATTGCCAGTCACTTGAAAACAGTTCTTCAAAGGTCACAAGACTTCACTCTTACGTGAATTTTCTTAGAACAATGGCATGTTAGTTATCGCTCTCGGTATAACTGAAGAATTGCCAAAGCTAATTGCTTGCCCTTAAACACAGCTTCTTTGGCTTTAATAGGCCACAGCAAGCTCCCTGTTCCATGTGTACATAGACACAGGCATTTTTTGAATGGTTGACTTGCTATTTCTGCAGCTCGGAAATTTTTCTACTGGGTCATAGTAAAGTACATAAAGATCTGTGTCCTCAGTGTAGCGTCAGTGACATTTTAGTAATGGGGATGACTGAAGACATTTGTTAGGAAAGGCAATTTAGGTAGGATGCCAAATCATCTGTAGCTGAAATGACTTATCTAGCTTTTGACACTTTACCTGACAGTAGTAGCAATTCCTGAATGCACTGTTACATTGACCGTATGACACTGATTCGTCTGGCAGTCTGGACCATCAGTATTTTCATGTTATCTTAAACAACTTATTTACTTAGTCTGAGTCTTTGTACTGAATTATTCAGGGCACTTAACCATTTGTTGAGGGTTGTTCTCTGAAGTAAAGGAAAGGAAGCAGTAAAATTCGATAGCCTACTTTCTTATCTGAACGATGCTCTACAGTCTTTATGTTTAAATACATTTGTCTATAAGTGAATAGATTTTGGTAGTTTGTCTTGTTTCTCTTCACCAAGCAGCAATACTTTCTTGCGCAAGTATAATGCAGAGGTTTTATCTGTAAGCGTGATTACCTCATTCTGTTTTATAGCTGTATTGCTTTGTCAGACCATTGAAAATATCTGGAAGTAGCTCAGTTACTACATATCCATGTTAAAAATGCCTATTTTTTTAACGTTACTTATACAAATGACACAATTCTGGCAATTTTGACAATTATGTATTTAATTTCAGGTCATGTAAAATTGACTGACTTCGGATTATGTAAAGAATCTATTCACGATGGAACAGTCACACACACATTCTGTGGAACAATTGAATACATGTGAGCTGCACGATGAAATAGAAAAGTATTACTCTGGTCTGGGGGTAATGGCTATATTTTGCCTTTTTTAACTGGTGGTTCATATGTTCAGTCACTTATGGAAATGTTACTTGATAAATGTGGTTTTGTTTGAAAACTAGTAGTCAGAATTAGTATTAAGCTTGTTAAAATACTTCCATATTTTCAATTTTTCTGATCATAGGGCCCCTGAAATCTTGATGAGGAGCGGGCATAATCGTGCTGTGGACTGGTGGAGTTTGGGGGCATTAATGTATGACATGCTGACTGGAGCAGTAGGTGCACAGTTATAATTGCATGTATTTCTCTTCCTAGCTTTTGTAGTTACCTGTATTCTAATTCAGATGCATGTATAAATACGTATACACTTGTGTATATATACAAACTGCAAGTAAGAAATATAACTAAAATACGGCTACTCTTTATGTTGACTACAGTCATGAGCTGCTCTTATCCAAACAGTTCTTTGGAAGTCCCATTTGCAGCAATTTTATCTGCTTTATAAATGACTGAAGTGAGTTCTGTGTACACAAATAAGAGACCTGAACAAGTCCTGTTTTTCCTCCCATTACAATGGTGCTTTCTAGCCTCCTTTCACTGGGGAGAACAGAAAGAAAACAATTGACAAGATTCTCAAGTGTAAACTCAACTTGCCTCCCTACCTCACACAAGAAGCCAGAGATCTGCTTAAAAAGGTAGAATTTTAATGAATGTCAGTACTACGTGTGTATGTAGAAAATAGAAATACAATGATACCGCTGTGGCTACTCAGTCCATGCTTGTTTTACTGCTAAAAAGTCAGTCTTGTTTTTGCGTGGTACAGAAAGTGATTTTCCTTGAAAATACAATTGTTTTCTAACAAATATAGATTTTCTGATTGTTCTGTATTCATTCTGCATGGCATTCACTCAAATGATGATTCATGTCAGAACTAGTCTAGTCACAACGACATAACGCATTTTTCTTTTTTGGATGTTATTTCTCCTTAAGCTGCTAAAAAGAAATGCTGCCTCACGTCTAGGAGCTGGTCCTGGAGATGCTGGAGAAGTTCAGGTAACTTTCGCTTAACTCAAGAATTCTTAAATTACCTCATTGAAAATAAAACAGCTTTGAGGGTGCATCAGGGAAGGAGAGTATGTCTCTCTTGAAGTATAATGAGCAAAAAGGCAGCCACACGTGACAACTGATCAAAACTTGAATGCTTTAAAGCTTAACGAAACCAGCTGTCTACCTATTTGATAATTTGAGATTTGGAAAATAACTTTTATTCTTTAGCTCTGTCTTCCAGTAGGTCTTTTCTACTAGTTGCACAATGCTAATTGTACAGTCAGCCATGGAAGAGCAATGATACTCTTAGCAGTCTGACGAAAAACCTGCTATCCCTTGCATTTAGTGCAGCTTTCAAGGGAAAAGCGGTGTTAGTTTGCGTTCGATGTTGCATAGTTAAAAGGCAGAGGCCTACGTCTTGTTGCTTCCAGCTTGACTTTTTTTGTGGTGAGATTAACAACGTACTAGAGAGTCCTCCTCATTTCACAGTTCTGATAATTGGTCATTAACACAGTGTTGTGTCATTATTTTTAGATATCTGACTTTTAAAGTTGAAAAACGTAGAGGTATTTTGCACGTCAACTGACTTTTTTTAATACTTTCAAGGAAAACATGATAGGGACGTATGTTGTCTGACTTGGAGGTATGGTATCAATTTTCAGCTCTTCCAGCTACTCTGATGTAGTGCTGCAGAATATATTACGCTAGACCCATACGTGATTTTGGAAAGAAAGACACCACAGAGAGGGTCTGAAAAGAACATGCTTATTAATTCTTAAATTTCTGTATTTTATACCGAAAATGTAGATTATGACTCTGTGCTATTGCTAACTCTTGTAGGCTCACCCATTCTTCAGACACATTAACTGGGATGAGCTGTTGGCACGAAAGGTGGAACCTCCTTTTAAACCCTTATTGGTATGTACTCGGAATGCCGTGAGATATTCCTTGTGTGCCTTTAGGAAAGGTCTTATACAATGTGGAATCTCCAACATAGAAACGCTCACTCTTACAAACTGGAGTGCTGTTGATTTCTGGTATTTTAAGTAGTTAAATGCATCAACTTAGGTTACTGGTTCTCAGAATCACTGTTGTCAAATTAAAGAGAGAAACTACCTGATTCAGAATTTTTTTTTCTTCCCCCTGAGAACTGATGCTATATCAACATTGAAAAAAACTTCTTTCTTTTAAGTCTCCACACAGTATGAAATACTCGCTGTCATGAGCATGCTGTTCTGTCTTATTTTCTGTAGTCACGGTACTTATCCGTCACTGGAATAGGATTTTGCTTTTTTATGTGAGAAGGTGGCAAAAATCGGCTAAGAGCCAATTTATCCTTCTGTTCAGTCTCCTGGAGGAAGAAGGTTCTGCTTCAGTTTTAATTCCTCCTGCTTCTAATCTGTAGGTTAAACAGACTTGCAAGTGTAGTTATCTCTGAATTTCTGCTTCTAAACATTATGCAGCAAGTCAGTACTTAGTTGAAACTAAGATGATAAATAGTTGCTAAGGAAAAGTAAATGAAGTCACCTGATTAAGCATTCTGTATGTTTGCTTATTAATATTTACAATGCATCTTGTGCATTATAGGCAGTAATTAAAGTTGACCTCAAACCAGCGATGTGATGAATAAGCCTCTATTATCCTATCCTACAGTTTGATAGGGTGGGGTGTATCTTTTTTTCCTCTGGGTACAATTAGCTACGGCAGCAATGGGTATTGCCACCCCGATAGTTCCCGACTACTAAAAACCTCACTTTAAACTGACTTGGGCGTCACTGATGTTGAGCACACTACAGCAGGGGGACTCCAGGCCTTATTTTTGCTCAGCATTTTGAATGAAATTCAGAATGACACAAGACTGGTATTTCCAGATGAATTAACTGAAGAGAGTTTTGGGTTTTTCTGTTATTAGCAGATTTTATGAAAGTTACTTGTACAAACCAGGTGGCTTTTGAAAATGTGCTTCCATGGTTGCATGAAGGCCTGCGCAAATGAATACATACTGCCTTTTCAGTTACACTTAGGAATGAGAGAAGGGATCTTGGAATTATGTCTGTTGTTCTTTGACTGAATTACACAATATTCTTCATAGTCACTTATTCCAGAGTTGTCATCTGTCCCTCACAATATAAACACTTCTGTATCTGCAAAAATGGGATTGAAATTATCTGGAGAGGCTTCCAAAAACTAATAGTTGCAACTCTTCTATACTGGTTGTGACAAGGGCTAAACTTGCAAGAAACTGGCATTGTATTTCTAAAAGTTTTTGTTTGTAATTTGAGATTTTTTTTTTTAAAGGCATCTTTTTAATTTGTGTTCCTTTTTGATCCATAATTTTTGCCCCTCCCCCTTGCCTTTATTTCTCAGTGTCAGTGCCCATAGTGACCTCCCACTGGCAGCGACAGGATTCCGACACCACTCCAGGGTTTTACTACAGCAGAGCTCTGCCAAAAACCTATGGAATGAACTCCATCCAGAGGCTACACTGATCACCGCTAAGCCATTTGGTTGATATCTGTAATATAAACCCTTAATCATTTTGTTTTTGCAAAGCAATCTGAAGAGGATGTGAGCCAGTTTGATTCAAAGTTTACACGTCAGACACCTGTTGATAGCCCAGATGACTCTACTCTCAGTGAAAGTGCCAACCAGGTCTTTCTGGTAAGTGAGGCAGGGACGGGTGTGTAACTGTGGAGAGCTATGTTGTGTTACTTGGAAAAAGTAGGGCATTTCAGGTAAATCAGCTCTATTGAATCTTGCCACCCGATACTTGAAGCAAACCATCGTAATTTTAAACACATGTTCTGCAACTGGTTTGAAATGTCTAAGGGCTTTGAAAATACTTAGTTTGATTATTGCTGATGTTTTCTTTATATAGATAAAACAGCCAACAAATGTTGCTTACTTTCTGAAATGTTGGCATTCTTATGAGCCCTGGGCACGTGATTGCTTTCATAGTCATGCAGAGAGAACAATGTCCATTCTACAGATCAAAATTAATGAAATTGAGCATGCCTGTGGGAATCTGTGACCCGAGTAGAAATATCTGGGGTGTGCAGGCACCTGGGTGAGGGACTCCCTGAAGTCCTGCTGTTTGCTTCAGGAAGTGAGTAGAAGTTCATGTGTCTACATTTATTCTCCTTTTTTATAATCTTCATTTACTGTTTCATGCCAATCATAACTGCACAAGTGATCATAAATGTAAATCTTGCCTGTAAGTTACAGTGCATTCATTCCTGTTTTGCAGGGTTTTACGTATGTGGCTCCATCTGTACTTGAAAGCGTAAAAGAGAAATTTTCTTTTGAACCAAAAATTCGATCACCTCGCAGATTCATAGGTAGCCCTAGGACACCAGTCAGGTATCTTTTTTTTTTTTTTTTTTTTTTTTCTTTTTTGTAATGCACTTTTTGGCAAGTAGTTGAAATAGATCTGCACTAGAAATAAAAAATGCGGCCTTTCTTCTCAGTAAGCCCATCACTTCCATTAGAAGTGCAGCATTGATCCTATTTTAGAGACCACATTATTAGAGACAAGTCTATGGTGTTTGGCAGCACAAGAAGTACTAATTTGCTTGCTGTTCAGCGCTGGTACAGCCTCACAGTCTGGTGACTTTGGTACACCATTCCTCTAGAACTCTTTCAGAACACCCTAAGTACTTATGTGCCGCTAAAGAATCATGTTAGTACAGAAAATTCCTTCTGCAATCATCTAGAAATACATCCTCACTACTCAAATGAGAGAATTTTACTGTACAAGAGACCGTGGTAGAAGCTAGACACGGAAACTTTCTCAGACTTCTGGAAGTGGAAGGAAGAATTACAAATGCTTCTCAAGGGGCATTTGAGTTCAGCTTCCTGCAGAGTAAAGGACATACCTTGGTGCTGTGTATATCTTCATCTCTGATTTTTATATTTCTTGTTTTAAAGCCCTGTAAAGTTTTCCCCTGGGGAATTCTGGGGAAGAGGTGCTTCTGCCAGCGCATCAAATACTCAGACACCTGTGGAATATCCAATGGAGACAAGTGGAATAGAACAAATGGATGTGACAGTCTGTGGAGAGGCCTCAGCACCACTTCCAATCCGGCAACCAAACTCTGGGCCATATAAAAAACAAGCTTTTCCCATGATTTCCAAACGACCAGAGCACTTGCGCATGAATCTATGACGACACAATTTTTTTAAAGCCTTTGAAGGTGGAAAACAAAGAACGGACATAAGCCCCCTTGAAGTTGAAATATGAGGGCTTGTATGGTTTACTTTTAAAAAGTGACAGTATCAAAGAGTCAGTCATTGCACAGAGCGACTTGGAAAGCAAAGAAAAATGGATTTTTTTTCTGTCAATCAATGGTGCATAAAAAACTTTAGAAAATGGTATTGCAGAACTCTAGGCACATCATCTAACTGATTCGCAGTGACATCTTCTCACCTTATCAAGGATTTTTCAGCTTGATAGCTTGAAACTGACAGTATTAAGGGTCAGGATGTTGCTTCAGAATCACTGGTCTAGTCGTGAATGTGTCAAGGAGGGTTAGCCCTTTCACTAGGCAAAATATGAAATGCCTATATGCTTGCGTCTGAGGAATAATTAGCATGCAAGCTTGGTTAAGCTGTTTCCTACAATGGGGTGGAATCAAAGATGAAAGACGAAATTAATTGGTATTTCACATTCAAAACATAATGAGTTTTTTATATATATAAAAAATATATATTTTTCAAATAGATTTTTTGATTCAGCTCATTATGGAAAGTATCCCAAAATTAAAAATGCAAAATAATTGGTTGCTGTGAAGAAAGTAGAGGCTCTAGTTCTGATTCTTCTCCTCATGAAACAACAAATCAATAAACGAATCACTCAGTTACCAGCTTGGCAATGTGGGGTGGGAGAGAACTGTTTCACTTGCTTACCCAGCTGAAATACCTGTTCCTGCAAAGACAAATGGATCTAATCAAATGGCAATGCTGCTATGTTCTAGGCTTAACTGGAAGCCATGGGCTCACATACATGTCCTGCTTATTTCATCCTTGTCCTCAGCAGACATTTCACTGGGAAACATCACTTTTGTATACGCTAGTCCTTAGATGGAGACAGCGGAATACGTTCAAATTCTTACCCATATAAAAGACCAGGAAAAAGTGCATTGGAATACAAGGTCAGTAGAAACGTATAGGAAGTACTGCAGGAAGCGTATACAAATTCTACATAGTATAAGGAAATAAACCTTTTTGTAACCAGTGGGTAAGAATTCGAGGATTTTTTTTTTTTTTTAAATAAAATTTTGCTTATGGGAGTTCCCTGCCATTATACATTTCTAAATTTATCAACGTTTTTTTCTATGCTGGGGCAATAAATTTGCTGATTGTATGAGAAAAAAGTGTTAAATGGCCTTTCAGTGAATGTCTTCCACAGTGGGTCAGAACTTCAGCAACTTAATTTAGGAAACATGTTCTAAGGACACTATTTATGTTTTTGAAATTGTCACAATCTGTACAAATGACTTACAGGTACAAAGAATAAAATAAAGGTAACTTTACCTTACTTAAATACTTCCTGCCTTAAAGAAAGCATTTCCATGAACATAGCTGGTGAAAGGGTTAATATCTGCAGAGCTTTACACTAGTTAGAGTGTGTATGGTGTGTGCGTGTGTGTGTATATGATCATGCAACTGCATACAAGTCCTGTCACTTTTTGCCTGCCACACGTTGCATTATCTTTAGTCAAACTGTGCAAAGTCTACTTCTAGTGTTTCACAACAGTAGGGATTTTTTTATAGATTCTGCTTACTCTGTGTATACTGAATCTTTTTGAGCCATAGGATCCAAGCCATAAAACTCTCTAAGCATCTTGAATCCAATCAGAGTGCTGTTTTCTAAAATTTGCAAGTCAGAGGGATTCATCGATACCTTGTTGCTACTAACAAAGAACCAACAAAAACGCTGGTTGTGATTGAGCAAAAATTAGTTTTTTTTTTTTTTTCTTCCTGATAAGCCTTTTGTTGGAAAATTTCTTTTTTTTAGTTTTAGAAGGAAAATCAAGTTACCCTACAGTGACATAAACTGTCCTGGAAGATTGCCATTTTTCATTTGGTAATACCGCCACTGGTGACATGTTGTGAAACTGAAATCAAAGTGCTCACCTGTGTTTGTATTATGCATATTTGCAAATACGCAACACTTCAAGCAGTGCCTCTCTGTGCCACCTGTTAACATAGGTTTCCTAACATGTTTACCGAGTATAAAGGAACTTAGTTTAAAAAAAAATTTTTTTTTGAGGCAGATCTCTCTTGGTCCTAGTTACAGCTAACAGTTGTTTTTTGGTTGGCTGGATGTAATTGTCCAGTAGAATTGGTTTAATATGGCTGGCAAGAATGGCAAGAGTTGTTTGTCTGAGTTCACTGATTAATTACAGATCCATCGGTTTTAAAATTAAATTTCATGTACTGTCCATGTTTCATCCCATAGATTATAAGTTTAATTCCCTACCATAACTGTGAAACTTTTGGAGTGTGACTCAGACAGCAAGCACACACTATGCAATATGGTTTATCCTGTATTTATTTGTAAAAATATCAGACATAGATCCTCTATATATATATAATAGTGTCAAAATTACTAGTCGTGAACTAAGGGGAGTGAAGTTCTAGCTCCTGTCTGGCTGTTTCAGATAAGTGCAGAATGCATTGAATATTGGAGAGCTTAACAAGTGCTTTCTTTTGTTCATTTAAAAATGTCTTAAATTTTTCATTAGAGTATAGAATCTTATTTTTTTTATTTTGTACAAGCTGCGCTTTTTTAATTATAATCACTGAAAAATTCACTATAATTTGATTTTATAGGATTTTTGTAGCATTACAAAAATATAGTAAAACTGAGGTTAATACCTGTTGTGGCTAACCATATAAAAGTATTAAATCTTAAACTTGAACAAAAGTCATATTTTTTTTTTCACTAGATGTTAAATAGGGGAATATTTTGTTCTGCAGGTCACTATCACAAAAGGTTTAGAGGTCAGCTGTGTTACCAGCAGTTTTTCTTTTCCCATTTGATGCAGAAACTATTCTGGTATAAGATATTCAGAATTTCATAATTTTTCTCTGTGGGAGTGATGCATACATTTGATGCCATTCGTGTACTAAATTGTAATTTTGGGAATGCTGGAATAATTCCTACCAAGACTGTCTTAATTGTGCCATCTGACATTTGAATGTCATCCTGGTATTAGCTCATAATAAAAGATAAAAATAAATGAGTCAATTGTTCTTTTGAATATCCCTTTTTTTTGTCTTGCTATCTAAAAGCTGAACTGCTGGAGAACATTTAATATTTGAGTCCACTCCTACCATACAGTGGATGTTTACTTTGGGGCTATTCTCTTTTTAGTATTAACTCCCAACCTGCTCTCACTGTTAATCAAACATGCATCAAAGATTGAGGGAGACTACTGTTGTTCTTAGGACAGATGCTTGGGTTTGCTTTTGTTGGTTTTTTTTAAATTCTGTCTCCACAGCAGGGTAGTTGCTGTTTCATTTTCCCAGCTTAGAGGGAAATCCTTTACCCTAAGGGGTGAAGGAGGAAGAGAAGTTATTAAGAACAAGGCAAATTACTTCAATATTCTTCCTGCAGATCCTTGATGGTATACTGTATGCAGTTCCTATATATGAACTTCTACAGATTGTTCTCTTCTAGATTTACTTGGCTTTGTAGCTGTCTTCAAGAAACAAACTTGAGCTGCCTTAGTAGAAATAAGGTAATCCCTATTCTGTTTTTCATCTCTCACAGTTTACTGGAACTAAATATACTCAGCCACTGAATAAGATGGATGTGAATAGCAATTAAATGCAAATTTAAACATATGCTAATCCAAGTGACCTATTTTTATTTTTTTTAAGGAAGTAGGTAGGCCCTAAGTATAACTGTGGGTCTAAATCATTGTCTTTCATGACAGCTTTGAAGGGAAAGGGAGGGAGGAGGAATTCCACCTAGAACTTAAAGGACCTGACAGATGCTAGTTCTGATCGGTCTGTCTTACCAAGGGCTGGTACCTTCATCTAGGTTCTTGGGCTCTTAAAAAGTGGCTATTGATTGCCATTTGTCATCCTCTTCTCTGTTCTGTCTCCCACAGAGTCAGACATGTGCTGGGTGTCTGTGTGTCTGTGTGTGTGGAGCGCAGGGCAGCTACCCTGGCCTGAGTGGGCTTGACAAGGAAGAGCTGCATCTTAATAGCATGATGCTGACAAGCGGATCAGAGAGGATGTCGTTCATGGATGTAAGTTACTCACTTTTTTTCCTCTCTGTAACTGAGATGAGAATGACTTGTTTCATTTATGAAGTGTAAATCTAAACTGGCTGATCAAAATCTCTTTTTAGTTCTTTGTTTTTTAATAAACTTTGATAATATTACTGGGTTTGGATAATTTTCACTGGACTGTAAAGGGAAAAAAAAAAGAATCAACAGAGAGAATAAAAGAGAAATTGGTCCCTGGTCCTATGTCTGACCAATATCCACCCTTGTTCTAGTAAGGTGTTGCTACTGCTGTGTGGTAGACAAAGACCAAAGGATCGGCAACAATCCAGGGTTGACTTAAAGCACTGACACCATGTTTTGTTGTGCTCCATAAAATAGTCTTGGTGAGCTTTACAGGCCAGATGATGCTGTCAAGTTCTTGCGTTGATTTTTTTTCTTAACCACAAGTGGAATACTTCTAAATTAGTTTCATATTTTTTAGTAATAATGCTGGCCTTGCATACAGTCCTTGATGCCTTAATTCCTCAATCTACAGTATCTGTCTCAGACATTGAACTACTTGTTGAGGTACGTAGCTTATAAACACTTTTGTCCTACAGCAAAAGACTATTTAGTTCAGGTTAATTTCTTTCACATTTCCCTGCATGCTTTGAATGTATATGTGTAAAGCAGCGTGTTTCTTGATCTGTAACTACCTTCCTAGTTCATCTTAGGTCTGCCAGTCTAAGCTGTTGGTCCTGACGGACCACTTCAGCTTTGCACTGCCATACAACCATAGATTCTGGGATTCTTTTCCATGATTCTGTGACAGAACAGCAAGCTTCCTTCTCACCATTTCCTGCTGCATAAGCAACGGCGCTGCTATTTACTCATCTTGGGGCTAAGGCAGTAAGAAAGCATACTCATTTCTCAGCTCTTTTCCCTTAGTCAGCAGGGTAGTGGCTCTGCTTTCAGAACAACTGTTTGTATTAAGCAGCTGGTGCATCTCAGAATCTGTACTTTCCCAGTTAATATTCCAGGAATGGACTAGGTGATTTAGACCTATTGTTCTAAAAAGATTTTTGAAAGTCTATCACAGAGTACTGGAATTCTGGTGAATGGCTACCCATTACTGGTAGGCAATGAATTTAATCAATATTCAAGTATTAAGAAGTGCATTTCCTTGCTCTAACATCACGTCCAAGTCTAATGAATTTTAGTTTATATTTCCTCTGAGAGGATTTTTGAATTAAAAAGTGATTAAGCTATTGGTATTAGCATTTTAGGAAAAGCTAATCCAGGATAAGTTACAATTTTTATGTTGCCCAGTATTTTAGAAAGGGTTGGTTATTACATCTGCTCTTACACACTGTGTATTGGGCTTAGTCATGCATTTTACTCACACAAAGCTTTTTTTAAAGGTGCCATTTGTTGACTAAATTAAATGTAGCACTCAAATTGTTTACACGGTACTCACACAATACCTGTATGAAGAATAAAACCTTAAAACGCTCTTTAGCTAAACTCTATGTTCATGACTAAGTTTGGGAAAGTCTAAAAATGACTGTGTAACCAAGTGAGCTGCCAAAATCTCTGTGGGCCCATCAAAGATTCAGAATCCAACCTTAAGTTCCCCCTACTCTTTTGTTCCTTAACTGATTCCATTCTTGTCCATCTCTCAAGGGAAGTTCTGCTGCAGCAGCAGTCTGAGTATCAGCACTGATGAAATTTAAATAACAAACAGTTCTGATCTTGTATGAGCTTCAAATGCAAGCTAAGGCATAGCTAGCTCTCTCTGAGGCAACAAAGAGCAGTTTGTTCTGACTATACTGGAGGTACAGGCACAAGCCCATTACAGCACAGCTCTGGCTGCGGCCAAGCTCTAATGCTTCCCTGCCGCCCTCAGGACTGCTCTAACACCATTCATCTGCACATTCTCCAAACTAAGTACCTCACCTGCTGGGAAGGGCTTCCATGAGAACCAGTCTCTTCGACTCCCATAAGTTTCCAATTACAGACTTAGAAGCTTTTGCCTGTTTTCTTTAAGCTGGAGTCTTTTTTCCCCA